ACTCGCCACCAAAACACACCCTGCATCCTTTCCTACGGTTTTATGTCAGCTTTCACAGTAATTCTTACAGCTTGCGTCAGAGCTCTGGTGGCACGTGCCAGCTCTCCTCCCCAATCCCTTCTATGAAATCACATCTAAAAAACAATGTGGTCTGGGCTGACTGTTGTCAACAACCTCTCAGGTATCCTAATTTGCAATGTATTTTTAAAATGCATTGTACTCAGCATGTCCTGAAGGGGTTTTACTCTTATTATAGTGTTTTTACCTATTTCAGTACCTGTGTACAATATGACACTACAGCAGTATGCCGTATTGCTCTGGTTTGCACTTTACTGCAAGGGCAGGAAACCTCAAAAAAGGTTAAAACTAACAAATTAATTCTTATTTCATGCAGAAATCGGGCTGTAATTATTTTGTGAACTTTCTGCTGCGAGCGTTTATGTTTTAGTTATATTTCATCAAATGAAAAATATGAACTGCCTCTACTTGTGAAAACAGGCAATTTTAACACAATTCTTTTGTATAAAAAACTATTTTAAAAAATGTGGTTTGAAACCACACAGCAGCAGTACAATCAATCTCTTATCAAAATATTTTATTACTTGGGGAAATAAAAAACAGCAACAATAAAAACCCCAAATCTCACCCAGTGTTTCCTATTTATTAGAAAATTCAGCCCCTCAAAAGTCACACAACAACAAAGAGTTTGCATTAACATCACAAAATAAAATGTCAAGAAAATACAGCTTTCCAAATTCCTCTCCCTTCCTCAAGTCACTCTACATGTGTCTAATCTATTTTAGCTATAACATTCACCAGTAAAACATTCTAACTGCATAGATCATACAGTCTTTAATCTTTGTCTGGATTATTACAGAAGCAAAAATATCTTACCTTTGTTCCTCTCATATCCTTTTCTTCCATATGGAATTCTGTTAATGGAAAGGATATATCCATCTTCTGTTGCCACTTCATACTCCTCACTAGGGTATCCTCTGAAGGTAATAATTTGACTCTGAAGAAAGAAAATAAACTGCCTTAGAGACAGACTGTCACCCTCCTTAATTCGTCAACATTTGCAAGGTACTGTGGGACCCCTGCACAGAAGGTGATCCAAAACTGAAGTATGCGGTAGGATCGTGCCATACCGCTCATCTCTTCTACGTAGATAGGTTTTCTTCCAACGCTCATCCTAACACAGAGTCAGGAACTAGCCAGAGCACAAAACTAATCCAGCAGTCTGAGAAGACTCCTTGCTCTGCCCTCATTCACCCTCACAGTAGCTAGACGCTTACGGTGAGGAGCTCAGAGCTTCGAGGAGGAGTCTGGGAAAAGGAGATCATGCTAACAGGACTGAGGCACAGAGGTGGCAGACAAAAATTGAAAGCAATGCCTTCTCTCACGAAAAGCAGTATTCTCCAGTAACACTCAAGCGATCACAGCAAAACTCATTAGCACCACAGCAGCGTATGGAAGGAGGAGAAGGAAGAGTTCCTCCCTCTTCTGAAGTGAAAGACTTTAACAACGTTTCCGATTTAGATATGAACTTTATGCCTAGTTCTGTTACGCAGGGAACACACCCACGTTTAGGCACATGCTGAAGTGAACCACAGACACAACAACTTTGAAACACCGCAGTCGTGCTCTTGGCCCGCGTGAGCTGCCGACAGTACTACCTCAGCCGGAGGGTTCGAGTGCCGTTTCTTACTCCTCTCTCCTAAAACTTTACTTCTGTTGCATGGCCTTTAAGTGAGTAAACACAAAAAAAAAAAAGAGGGGGGGGGGGGGGGGGGGAACCACACTTTGCTTAATACTATGATTTCATTAGCAGTATTATTTCTCATCACTTACCTCTCAGTCTTTTTGTTATTTTCGTTTGTTGCACCAGGCCTGAACTCCTTAAGGATAGAGAACTTGTTATTTAATTCTTTTTATGATACCAACTCTGCTTCGGGAAAATGTAAAAAAATGCAACAAATCTACTCTTAGGCCATAGGGCAAAGAAGACAAATGCTCTAGGCAGAGAATTTAAGTAGAGCGTGTTACTTTTTTTAATCCTATCTTCGGTCACCTACAGTGACGGTAACATCCCAAAATGATTTTAAGACTAAATTCCAGTAGCTTTCGACCGAACGACTGCACGAGCTGGGCTTTAGATGACGCTCAGGACGCGCCCACTGCTTTCCACGCTGTTGGGTTGAACTCTCTCTTCACGCATGATTAAAAGAAAAAACCGGCACAGTTCAGAGGGGGAAGAGGGAAGAACGACCGACACGGCTTACTGACAGCGACTGTTTACCGGAGGGGGCTGCTGGGGCAGAAGAAGGGGGGGAAATTAAAGAGAGCGAATGCCAAGCGGGAAGAAAAGCAACTGCCGGCAGCAGCTGGGAGCAGCGGGCTCGGGCCCCCCCGGGGGGG